TAAACACCAGTGTTCAAATGTTTCCAGGGCTCATTTTCTTTAGCGTTTGATTTATACCTAAGCTTATTGATTTAGTCCCTTGCTAATAAAACAATGGATATCTTTAGAAGTGGACAATTTTTTGCATGGATAGCACATAGTAAAGTGACACTATTGATCGTTTTTTGTGTGTTCTTGTTTTAATATTTCTTTGAGCAAAACTTTTCCTTATTAAAATTTTTATACTTATGAAATGACTACTTTTAGAATTGAGTAGATTATCACATCACTCTTTTGCATATATAGGGAGGAGAACATAATTATTTTTCCTAAAACTTTGCCACATTCAGAGTATGACTCTTCTGAATAAGCTAGTTGTTGAGTTCATGTGCTTTTGTCAGATATATTAACTGAATTACCAGAAAAAGGACCATGCTCTTGGCTCTTACAGCAGTGCCAATTGCTATTCAGTTTTCTAGCTGTTTACTCTCAGTGGCTGTCGTTAGCTTGTCTGAGAACAGAAAATACTTCACAGACCCACCCCCAGTCAACGGCTGTCTGAGCGAAGGTAGAGAGGTCATTGTGGCGGGAGAAGTCGAGGAGGGGATTGTGTAGGCCTTTTTAGGGACTTGCCTATGCTCTGTGAATTGGGGAACTATTAGAGGATTTTTAAAGTTATTTACATACAGTACACTCATTTTAGTGTTCAATTTGATGAGTTTTGGCAGTTGTATACAGTTCTGTAATCATGATCAAGATGTAAAATGTTCCATCACCCCTCAAAGCCCTGTCGTGCCTCTTTGCAGCCAGTCTATTCCCCCATCCCCGACCCTAGGCAGCCGCTGATGTGCTTTGTATCACCAGGTTGTGCCCTGTCTGGTCGGCTGCCAAGGTTCATCTCTATTGCACCCATGAGCAGTTTGTTCTGCCAGTTGATGGGCATTTGGGTTCCAGTTTGGGGCTATTATGAATAAAGTGGCTATGAACGTTCACATATAAGTCACATACATTCACATACAGGTAGACATATGTTCTGTTAGAAGACTTCGAGCAAAGGAGTGACATTTGATTTACGTTTGAAAGCTTTATTTAGATACCATTTCCAATTTATGTAAAAGTTGCAGAAATAGTACACAGAGCTCCCATAAATGCTTCTGAACCATTTGAGAGTGTTGACCTGATTCCTCGTTACCCCTTAATACTTTAGTGTGTTTCTCCTAAGTACAAGGCTACCCTCCCACATAACTGCCGCATGACCAGCAAGATGAGAAAATATCAATAGTTCAGCTAATCCAGTTCAAATTTTGCTTATCTCCCAATAATCCAATCCAGGATTGTGCCACATGTGGTTGTCACGTCTTTAGTCTCCTGTCAGTTCCTCAGCCTCTCCTTGTCTTTCATGATCTTAATTTTATATAGAGATATCTATAAATATATATCTATGGACATATCTATACAGTTATATAAAAATGAGTTTACAACAGTACCTCTAATTGCAGTCCCCCAGCATGGAATTTATTCTAGCCTTCCCCGTTTCCTTTTTGTAACTCTCCACCAGTCGCTTTAACCTTAATATATGTGCTTATTTGCTCAAGTCTCCCCGTATGGAACCAAACTCTAGAAAGCAGGGCTTCACAAGGGAGGAAGGGGAAAGAAAAAGGAGCTAAGCTACACTTTGAAGAAGATTTGATCAAATTAGGACCTTCTGACCTTCACTTCTCACCCACCGGTGGGAGTGGGAGTTGCAAGGGGCGTTTGGAGGGAGTGGATGTTGCTATCTGTGTAATGCTATGGTTCTCAACTTTGGCTACGTGTTAGAATCATCTGGGAAACATTTTCAAATACCCATGCCTAATCTACACCCCGTGTCATTTAAATCCTAATCTCTATGTGGGAAACCTAGTCAGCAGTATTTTTTAAGTTCCCTGGGTAATTTCAATGTGAGTCATGGTTAAGAACTAACAAAGCAGATCTCTCTCTACCTTAATGAAGTAGGTTGTAATGATTAGATCATTAGTTCAAATTGTATTTGTCAAGGGCAGTATACTGATAAATAGAAGATAGTGTAAAATTGGAACCTGTTGTGAGAAGCTCACATCTCCGTTTTAAACTTTACGGCTTAAAGTACTTTTTGTTTAGGTATTTAACATGCGTTTTGTCCCTTGAAAATGTTGCATCCAGCAGAGACCTAGTGAAGAATGTGAAGCCCTGACTAAAGATGTTTGCTTTATTTGATATGCCCTTGAGCAGTTCTCATACTTTAACACTCTTACGAATCACTTGAGCATCCTGTTAAAACATAGATTCAGATTGAGCAGGTCTTTGTTAGGGTCTGAGTGAATATTTCTACAAAGTGACGCCAAAGTTGCTGGTCTGGGGACCATTCCCTAATAATTTAATGAGTCTTACTTTGGGCGATGTTATGAACATTTTTTTAAGTCTGATAAAACCTGGGAACTTTCCCCTGAAGAAAAAAAGTATAGGTGCATGTACACACCTAAGCAAATGATTTCAGGGGGATCATGCGTTTATTCAATGAATACCTATTTATGAGTGCCAAGTATTTTTCTGGGAGCTAACAATAGAGCGAGGGACAAGCTAGACATGATCCCTGTCTCATGGAGCTTTGATTGTAGTGTTGGGGGGCAAACCACTGCTAAGTAAATAAGGCATGTCAGACAGTGATACATGCTTTAGGACGGTGTGCCACCATCAAGTGATGGGTGGATTGGGTTGGAGGAGTGCAGGGAGTGGCCCTGTTAAACTGGTGTGTCCATGGAAGCATCTTGGCCAGAGACCTGGATACCGGTGCCTGGAGTAAAGCATCCCAGGCAAGTCAGCGCAGTGGCCTGAATTAGAAATGAGGTTAGCGCTTTCAAAAGTCAGAGAACAGCTGGTATGGAAGGAAGAGAGCAAGTGACAGGAGATGACTTTAGAGGAGCAGGGAGGCCAGATTATACAGGGCCTCGTGGGTCATGGCGAAGGGGGTGCTTCCCCCCACCTGCTTGCCCAAGCCTAGTTTTCGCCCCGAAGGGATTCTCAGCCTCTATTTTAAGAACTACAGACTGAGAAACTGATGTAGGAACTGAAAAAAAAAAATGTCTTTTGGGGATTAAAGCCTCAGAAAATACATCTGAAAATCGAGGAAGGAGGTAAGTAAACTGGGGACAGAGCCCTATTCTGGACTCCTAGTATCTGCAGTGTCTTGAGCATAGCAGTCAGGCACAGCTGCTTGTTGAACTACTGCAAATTTAAATTCCTATTTGCAAGCAAAATTTTTCAAAGAGGTGTCTAGTTCCATTCTGTCCCTCCCCTAGCAGAAGGCTAGGACATCCCAGGTCTGCCCAGGACGCGCTCAGGAGGCTTGACATCACTTATCTTTACTTCTCCACCTTCGAATGGCCAATAATGGCTTCGTCTTGGCATCAGCCTCTCTTTGCTGTGTTGTTGGGAGCGCTCAGATGTGGCTCTAGTGAACGTTTCACCCTGCTCTCGGGGAGCTGTAGCGGCGTGGCAAGCTCAGTTTGTGCAGTCCCCGTTTCTTAAAGTGCCTCTTAAGTGGTAATTGTCTTTTAACTCTCCTGTGCTGCGGGCTGACGTGAGACTAACAGTCTGTAAAACAGCTGCCCAAGCAGGATTAAGAAGATTTAATCAACGCTTTAGTTTTCCCAGAGATCCTCTTGGCCCCTAGATTATAGGAAGGAAAAATGCCCTGGCATTCTGCTTCCAAAGATGATTTCTAACTCATTCTTTCCTTGAAGCGAAGCAGGAAATAAAGGACTTAAACTCCCAATTCTGTTTTGACAGTTGATGAATGGAAACAGCACCGGAGCGCAATCCTGCTGCAGAACCTTTAGACCAGGTGGTTAAGACAGGCGGCCCTGGCCTTAGCTGGGCTTCAGTTTCCTCATCTGTAATGGAGATACTGAATTAAACAAGCTTCCAAATCAGGGCCAACTGTATAAAAGATCCTTCCCTGAAAATAACACATACCCCCCAACCCTGCCCCCACCCAAGCAATAAAGCTTTATTATATACACATGCACGCAAACACATGGCCAAAACAATCAAACTTTTTTATTACACTGTAAGTATATTTTGCTTTCCCAGTCTATCCCTTGAAAAATAGTTTTGTACAGAAATACTTTGTAAGTTCAATTCTTGTCCTTCATTTTCTGAGATGACCACATTAAGGGGAAGGAAGAAGGAGGGTCTGCTCGGAAACCTCATCGTCAACCACGTTGGACAGGGCATCCCGACTCAGGCCTCAATTCTGGAAATAACCAGAGGGGGCACCTTATGAGAGAGGTGACAGCCCCAAACGCCCTATAACAAGCAGCAACCCATTGTCCGTCTTTCCTAATAGAAATCAAACCCTTGGGACGTGTTTTTATTCACGGTTGTCTCTCTGGTGCCTAGAACAGTGCCTGGCACACAGTAGGTGCTCACTGAAAACCTGTTGAGTAGGTGGAACCAGGTATTAGTGCTTTGACTTGGTGACTTCTAGCAGGGCCTTCTTTCCATGGGAAAGATGCCTGAAGTAGGCAATGTGGGGTGGGGGGTAACACACACCTCTAACTTTACTCCCTTCTCTATGATCCGTGATCCATGAGCATTTGAGACTGAATTTCAAGTCTCAGAGAGAGAAGGTGGAAAGAAGATTGTTCTATTTTTCCCAACCCACTCATCCCTCCCTTCCCTATTAGTAGGGTCCGGTTGTGACAACAACTAGTGTGTTACAATCCATGTCCACCCCAAGACAGACATGACTTGTAAGAATCCTATCATGAATGATTCGTAAACTTAAGCATCCTTTATTTATCTATTATATAAATCCTAATGTTTATTAATTGGATTTGTTTAAATAAAAATTATTTGTACTAAATATATAATCTCACATATTCAACAGATTCCTACAGTTAACACATCTTTGCTTGTAAGTTGAAGGAAAATGAGAGTTGAACGAAAAAAATCTTAAAAAGTGATTTAAAATTCTCATAGTTCCTTCAGCGATATCCTGCTGGTGCGATAAAGCACAGTGAAAGTGGTTTTAACAACAGTGGACCGTTTTGGATATCATCTGGATATAAAAAAGACATAGAGTTCAAGTCTCTTTGGAAAATCAGATGCCAAATAGCCCCTGGAGCCCAGGAGCTGTTATGAAAGCAGAGGAACGGTAGACACCTTCCCATTGGCCAGGGAGATTTAGCCAGATGTCTGGCTTTCACATAAAAGACAGGAACCACTGAAGTCAGTTTCTACTTCCACCCAAACGGCGACAGCAAAACAGCAAAAAAAGAAGATGGCAAGACTCTTGTCACTTTTCTTCCCAGGTCTTGTGGCCATATGTGCCGTGCATGGAATATTCATGGACAGACTTGCTTCCAAGAAGCTCTGTGCAGATGACGAGTGTGTCTGTAAGGACCTCTTTATGCCTTTCATTATCTTTCTATTATAGAATTGAAAAAATATTCACTAACAGCATAAAATCTAACTGTACTTTGAAATGACTCTTCCCTAATATGCATATGATTGGCATTGCTTCTCCTGGTCTGTGCTTCTGGTGTCTTACTGTGGAGAGTTCACTTGCTAAGACCCTGTTGGATGCAGCTTTAATACCTTGGCTATCTTGCTTTTCTTGAGTTGAACACGAGCTGTAACCTGGGAGGGCTTCGTTGCTCTGATTTCCTAGTTTTCTGATATGCTCTGCCTTTTTACTGTTATAAAATCCGGGAGCCTAAAATGTAGTCATTTCAATGTTTTTTTCTTCCAGATACTATTTCTCTGGCCAGAGCTCAAGAAGATTACAATGCCCCAGACTGTAGATTTATTAACGTTAAAAAAGGGCAGCAGATCTATGTTTACTCAAAGCTGGTAAAAGAAAATGAAGCTGGAGAATTTTGGGCTGGCAGTGTAAGACGAGATTATTAAAAACATGCCGACATCTTGACATATGTTGCTCTTAATTTTTCCTCTATTAACTGTCTTCAATGCATCTTAACGTTTAGACTAGCTGTTAAGAACAGTGTAGAGGTTATAGATGTAAATGCAAAAATTCATGTGTGTTTGCTTTTATTGCATTTTAAAGAAACAAAAGATAATTTCATAACATAACCAAATGTAGGTTTATGCGATGTTTTGGCAAGAAAAACATATCAAACACATAGAGGCTTGAACATCCCAAAGCGTTTGAATCTTATTCAAAAATGTTTGAGCAGATTTGCCAAGTAAAAGTCATATGTGTTGGCAGTCAGTCTACGTTTCAATATTTTTAAAGAAACTTTAGCATCCTTTTTAATTCCAAAGACTCTGCTTTCTTCAGTAAAAACATGCAGGAGTGGCCCCTGGGGAGGGATGAAACAGGATTAATTTACTGTCCTCAGCTGCAGCCCCACAGATAGATTTTCAAGTAATGAAGAATTAAATCTTAAATTCAATCAAGTATCTGTTTATTTGAATTTTTCAAAACTGAGAAATATGAGTCCTTTAAAATAAAAATATCTATTTACTTTTTCAAAAACTTTACTGAGTTTATTTACTTACGGCTTCCAAAAAGACTTCAGGAAGCTCACAGGACTGCATAAAACAAAAGAATGCTAAAGTAGTGTCACCAGCAAGACCGAGCCACCAAAGAATAGATGGACAATTTCTGTGGGTTAAACTCGTTGCTACAGGTAAACTACAAATTTGGCTCTGAGCCTGCTGTAATCCAGAGTGAAAATCTAGGCATTGGTAGTTATGTAACTTGCATTAATAGCAAACAGGATGTCTGAGGATTTCTAGAAGACTCATGTGAGCCTTCCCCTGACTGTTACGCTTCTGGGCACTCAGGTTTATGGTGATCGCCATGAGGATGAGATGGGAACCGTGGGTTACTTCCCCAGTAACTTGGTTGAGGAGCAACATGTGTACCAGGAAGCCACCAAGGAAGTCCCCACCACGGTAAGCATCCCAGATGTGGCCAGAGAAGGACCCAGATCTTGGGGTAATGTAGGCTGGGGTTATAAATGCGTCATGTGACTTACCAGATGTATCAAGCAAAGCCCCCCAACTTCCAGTGGTGACGTGTCTGAGATAGTGAGGTTTCAGGGAGCATTATACCTACTAACAAAGGTTGAAAGATTAGTGCTCCACTAGTCAATTTTTGGTTTGGATGCAAGTTATCCTGGAAAGGAGTCCATGTCACAAAGAAAGAAATCAAAATAGTATTAGCTGACTCTTACTGATGGTTATACTTATTTGCTAAAAGACTTGGGCTGAGAAAAAAAATTAATGCCTATATTTAACAAAATCAAAACATTCTGGAAAAATCTTTGAATGCCTTACTTTTGTGGTAGATAGACTCTACTTATGTATGAAAAAAATTATACTCTTTTTAAAGCCCTGGGGTCTCACAAACCCAGGACAGAAATAAAAAGATCCCTTTTGAGCTACTTGGCAAGGTGGTTGTTCTAAAGCGATTCTCCTGGAGCTAATTGCTGTAAGAAATAATTCAAAACATTGCCCAGCCTACACAAACGGGACTCGCTTGTCATTGCTTCTTAGTGTTGAGCTTGAATGTGTCAAATAACCATAAATTAAAAGGGTATTTGAGAACCTTCATTTTCAGTAGTTTTTGACTGAAGGTGATAATTATGTCATACGCTTTGGGGTTCAATCTTTACTTCTTTTAAATCCAAATTTCCCTTTGATCACAGATGATTTTAGATAAAGAACCTGCATCTGTTTTCTGGCCCTGCTTGCTCAGTTCAATCTTTTTTTTGTTTTTGTTTTTTTCTAGGATATTGACTTCTTCTGCGAGTAAGAAATTAGACAAATCTGGAGATAGAAAGGAAACACCAAAAATAAAGGAAAAATGAAAATAACCAAAAAATATATGTCCCTAATTTCTGACTTTTGTTTCCAAGATTTGTTACCTCACAGGAGGGCTGGGCCTTGGGGCCGGAGGTGGCAGATAAAGGAGGGTATTCAACTCAGTCTCGTTTTTTGCGGGCCTGGTCTTCGCACCAGCTGGGTGGGGTGATGTTTGGCTCAAGTGGGCAAATTGAAAGCAGAGAATTATTTTTCAATTATTTTTCAGCCTAGAGAATCTTCTCTTACACAGGGATGCATAGCGAAGATGGTTTATTTGTAGCTATTTCTAAATAGTAATTCTTTCCAGCTCTTTGGCTCCCTGTATAAACTTGGTAGGTCACAGGTCTTCCCTTTGGACATGATATTTTCTACTTAATTTGTCTCTCTGGCTAATTGGAGTGTTATAATGTACCTGAAGGGGTTTTATCATAAACGAATACTCTAAGATTGTTACTTTTAATATTTGACGTCTTTGGGGTGTGAAGCTGGAGGGGCTGGGGGAGAAAAAGCTGTCATTTCAGACAAATTATTTCTCACAAATTATTTCAATTGAGTAATTTTACCTTATAAATGATCAATTTACCTCTCTCCAAATTTTAAATAAGTATGTGTGTCTGTAGTGGTGGTGGAGAAGTTCACGAAATATTTTTAATGAAAGAGTTTCCCCTTAACATGTGCTGTCGCTGGATGTTAGGCAAGCTTCAAATCAAAAGACACAGGAAATAAAAATGTCTGTGGGTTATTTTCTGTACTTCTATTTCAACTTTGAATTTCCTCTTCCTGTGTAAATCCCCCAGTCAAGGATGATGCGTCAAGAATCTGGTGAGGGGATGCAGATTTGGTGGTCCCAATGGATCCACACATTTTTCTATATTTAACTGGAAATCTGCTTTGATTGTGTACTGCTAAAGTAATTCTTTTGATGTAGATATGAGTTTTTGTTTACGTGCAATTAAAAGGCCTGTACTATTCTCAAAAAAAATTCATAATTTCTGAGTTAAAAAAATTTTTTAAACATTTTTCACTTTGGGGTATAGAAAGTCTGTGGGAGGGGCCTTGGGAATAGGGTTTGTTCTGCAGTTTTCTGTGGTCTGGTCATCCCACAAGCATGAAGAGGAGGTCATGAAGGACAAGCTGAAGACTTGGACCACAGGGTCATTTTTCAGCTGTGTCCACTGTGACTGGGGGAATGTGTTTTTGCCAAAAGTCTTATGGAGATTATTCAAATAAAGTGGTACCAAAAAAAAGCCCCGAAACCCAAACCCAAACCCACTAGCTTATTTGTTTCTATCTTGGGAGGCGGGGGAGTACTAACTTTAAATGCCATCCAGGTCTTGGAATGCAAAATGCCATCCCTGGACCAGCCCCAGAGTGGGCCTCACCTGGGAGCTGGTTAGAATGAGGAATCTCTGGGCCCACTGCAGACCTGCTGAACCAAAATCTGCATTTTAAGAGGACCCTCAGTTGATTCGCGTACACATTGCAGGTGAGTAAAAGCTTCTTTCTACCCTTTTAGGTTCCATGGCTGGACCTAAGAATTAAATGGACATGAGGCAGATTAACGGAAAAAGAGCAAAAATTTTACTTAATATCTTTATATGAATGTGAGTCTTCAAAAGGAAAATGAAGTCCTGAAGAAGCCATTCGGCCCAAAAGCTTATTCTGTACACAATTTTAAACAAAAAACAATAAATTGTGGGGATGTGACAAGACAAAAGGGCTTGGGCCCGGGACAGTAAATTGTGGGACAGTCACTAGGAAATATGTGGGGGAAACTAATGGAAGGTGAGGGTTATTTCAGTAGGTTTGTCCGCACAGGTCCATTTCAGCATCAACGCTCAGTCCCTGGCGATGCGAGTGTTCTTCTTTTCCCAGCACAGAAAGGGCACCCTACTCAGGGGAATTTTTATGACCTGCTTTTAGGTAGAAAGAGGGAGGTCAGAGGGCCCTCCTCCCTCTGCTGCTTCTTAAGTGCCTTCAGCTCAAAACAATCCATAGGCCAAAGTGGCATCTTGTGAGGTTTGTTCTGAACCCCTTCAACGTTAGAGACTGAGAAACACTGATTTTAGTTCCCTCCTCTCAACTTACACATAAAGAAACAAATAAAAAACCTAGAGAAGCTGAGAGTTGAAGCAACTCCCCCAAGACTAAGCGTTTGATGTTCCTAACCCAGCACTCTCCGGCATCACAGGCACGTCTTGGTAGTCTACTGCTCTCTACCCAGAGAAGAGGGGGTAAGTGCTGGAGGGGTGAGGGTTTGGGGGGTAATGGGGCCTCTGGGACCCATTTCCACTTGGGGAATCTTTCTTCCTTCCTTCCCACTAAGAGCAAGGACATCTTAACACCTCTACGAGCTTGTCAACCACTGACATTGTTGGTTCGCAAGCTGGTGAGTTCCCCAGGTGAAATCTGAAGCTGGGCCCTGTACATGGAGGGCAAGGGGCGACCGAAGAAAGAGGCAGGCCATTCCAGATTGCCAGGTGGCAGTTTTAATAAGCAAGGGCACTTATTTATGAGCCTTGTCTGGGGGGCCACAAGACAAGTAGATCTCTGCACCTGCCCACCAGATTCTTAAAACTACACAGAGGCCTTACCAGGGTCCAGTCACCTATCCAGTCCAGATGTCTCAGCACCTCACTCTCTCAAGGCTGTGTCCTTGAAATGGCTGCTAGTGTGGGAATAGTGGGCGGAACATACATTCCAAGGACAGGGGAGGAGGTAAGGAGGCTTTGCTTGACCGGCTTCATCTTGCAGGTCAACCACGGCCGTGTCCTCTCAATGATCTCCTCCAAAAGACCTTAAAAAAAATCTAGGCCTAGGGATCCTTGAGGGAATTCTAGCTTCTAGGTTTCCTTGATATCTCCAAGCTGATGGATGCTTGTTTATAGATACACACACGCACACACACACACACATAGTTTTAAAATTTTACTATGTAGCTTGTACTGTCTCCCTGTGGGAGGGAACTAAGAAATTTGATTTGCCATCCCTGACCTCACAGAACATTGTTGACGAAAACAATCCATAACCAATCTATAAATGAAAATTTGGGTGAGTTTATTCTGAGCTGAAATCTGAGGACCATGGCCCGGGGCCTTTCTTCCCAAAGGAAGAAAGGGCACCAAAGAAGTGAGGTATATAGAGTGGTTATATACCCCGAAATAGGACGTTTCACATAGGATTGAAATGTCCCTCCCACAATAGTCACAAGATTGCCCTGTCAGCACAGCACTTGATGGATACAGCACGTAGTGGGTCTGCTCTCTCAGAGGGCGTAGCAGGAGGCAAGCCTATTGTCTCGAGCTGGGTGGTCACAGGTGAGCACAGCAATCAGTTTCTAGCCTGAGGAAAGATGCTTAATCCTTAAGGAGATGCCAACGTTGGGAGGGGGAGGGAAGTTGCGCCTTTATTTCAAGGGCCTTTGCTCTTGCCATAGGGAACATCTAAAGCAGACATACAATGCATGCTCAACAGCCACGGTCAGGCCCTTTTGGAAAGACAAGGTCAGGCCGAATTAGGTTTATACCAAATGGCTTCCTCGTATTCTCCGATATATCCTATTGCTTGCCATTTTTATTTGTCAACATGGAGAATAAGACTTCCACTGTTACTGAAACCAATGTGGGTTCCCTCCTGGCGAGTTAAATCAGAGTCTCCTCCAGAAGTAGTTGTCTCACAAAGTAAGCAGTATTTGCAGCAAATAGGAGCCCATGAGGAATCATTTCCAGAGTCAGGGTGTCCCCGAACAAAGGGAAGCAGGGACCATTTCGGATGGGGAATGAATATTCAAAAGGGAGAGTGGGGTATTCGCTCGCACAGGCTCAGTTAGAAAACATGTTTCCACATACACTGCAGGTTATGGCAATAAGGCCTAAGCTCCTTCTGGAGAGATCTTAGCATTAAAATAAGGCAAAAGTCATAGGCGTAGCTCTTGAGGTGAGGGCTGGTCTGGTTCAGGCTGGTTGGTGATTGCATCTCCTCAACATAATAAAAGGGAAAAAACGTTTGGAAAAACAGTTAAATGCTTCCAAACCCACCCTTGAGTTCCTCAGTGCAACCAGTCAGTGACACCACTTCTGGATGAATAAGGAAACAATGCTGGGGAGTGGATATGGGGAGCACAGGCAAGCAGGTTTCATGAGCCAACTTAGGGCAAGTGGTAGACGTTACCTAGAGCAGAGCTGTTCAGCGTGGCTACCAGCGCAGGAAAAGAAAAGTACAGAAACTGGTCAAAGGTGAGAAGAGTCGGTATGGTAGATGCTGACGCAACAAAATGAAATCTTGTTTAAGGGCAGTGTAGAATTGGTGGCTCAGAAGAGTTGGATGATGAGGACAGAGCCCAGGGCACCATGGAGTAATGTGGGTCGTATGTGTCCTACCTCTGCATGCTTGAATAAGGTTATGACGCTGCTGGACTTCAGTTTTCTTGACTATAAATGGATAATAACATCTTCCTTGCTGGTTGTTGCAGGAGTTAAGTGCAATGTGTGTACGGGTCTGGACATAGTAGGGCCCCTAAGTGGCAGGCACTATTACCTGATCCAAGAGGGCTGGATGGAGAATGGCCTCCCCTGGAGGAGTTGTGCTTTAACCTGCCAGATGCTTCACTGGTGAGAACTTGCACTTACCCTTTCAGACCATCTCGGATTTCTAAATCAAAGATTTTTGTAACACTTTCCAGACTGCATAGTTTTTCTAGTTTCATTAAAAAAAAATCACCTGAAGTTATCTGAAATAGTCCCAAGTCATTCCACTAGCAGTTTGGTGACGTAGCATGGAGTGTATAATTTTGATTTGAAGCCCCAGTTCTGGCCATAGTCCTTTATCAGCACCAACATGTGAGGGTCATCCATACCTCAGTGAGGAATACCACACCTTATAAAGATCAACGCATTAGAGTCGATATATAATTTGCTTATCTCTAAGACCTACAGCGAGGTGGGTGTCAGCATGTAAACTAATCATCTTTAGGCTCAACAAAGTCGAGTTGTCTTATTTGTCTATAGCCATC